GCTATTAAGTATAGTTATCTAATCGTTAGGAATTTTGATTGTACAAATTTGAAGTTAACTAGCGGAAAGGTTTGCTATAAGATATATTAAGAAGTTGCGAGCTGCAAGTCTACTATAACAGATGTTTAATTTATGTACCAGCGATAGATTAGATTCAGAATCAATTTGATTTGAACTAACACATACTTAGAAATTACTATAGAAATATCTCTTATAGAAAATGTGTGTTTGACTTTCTTATCTATTCGACTGTTTAAATGAAGTTTACATTTCAATAATTCACAACACACTTATATGATACTAGCAGGCTAGGCCAAGCGTTGCTGTGGCTAAGGTTTTTATTATATTACATAGTAGTAAACTATTCAAGGGAGAACACCAGTCATGGGGACCACCATGCTTTTTTGGTGGTTATGCCATTAAATGTGAAACGTTGGCACTTTCAACACAGCGCTATCTGTTAGAATTGTGTGAACAATAAACAAATAATTTTCAATAAATTAAATTAAGATGCAAGCTATCCTATCATATAAGTTAGATCAAACTGCACACGGTGTGCAAATTTGATTGAAATCGGTTAAGTAGTTTAGGAGTCCATAGCGTAACAACGTGACGCGTAATTTATATATATTAAGACTGTGCATTATACTTATAAAGTACAATGCAGGATCAGGATATAGCACAAAGTATTTTTACTTCTTTTTTATATTGGTCACCCGTCGGCTCGCGTCTCAGTATTTTTTTGTCATATTGTTAAAACTTATAAGAATTTGAGAAACCATTCTCAATACTTAATAAGAAATATCAACATGTCTTTCACTGAACATATTCCTTCATAGATGGGAGGTTGTCTCTCCCTACAATATGGCGATAATACGGATGACGGGCCATTAGTTGTCAATCAAATTAATAACAATGTTTGTATGGAAATAAATAAGAAATCTCTGGCATTAATTAAGTGAGGGCCAGCGGTGGATTCCAAAAAAAACCAAAATATATTGATATTACTTTAATTAATTACTTTTACAAATAATAAACTTAACTAAATACAATTATTTAATCGGCCCGATATTAGGTGCACGATAAATATATTATATAATAAACTTAACTACTTGAGACTTGACCGGTCCGATATGAGGTATCCGATCAAAAAGCTGTTGGTTCTCTTGTCCCTTTCCTTATATATAGCGTAGTTTCGTAAGAGGTGACTTGTATTGGGTATGCGGGGCAAAGGGAGTGCAATGAATATGTAACACATTAGTAAATCTATGGAACAATTCAATATGAAATATTTACAACACAAACCAAGTACTGACAGAGCTACAGGTGATTCTATCTCATAGTTATTGGAATTGTTCACATTAAATACTATTTTAATTTTACCGGTTTTACAGGTGAATGACTATTCTCGCCAGGCCATAAGCACCGGCAGATGTGTGCAATTGATCTCGTGCCATCTGTTATCAACGTTTTTTTAACGGCATGTGTCAATGCACATGGCGAATACCTTTAATCAAGAATTGCGAATGGTAATTTATTCTAAAACATCGAAACTGCTAGTACAGAGTATTTTGGTAAATAAATAATTGTTCAAAACTTTGAAATCTTTTAATTGTTGCTTTTTTAAATAAGGGTGTTGACCTTTATTATACTAAACGTAATTACATTACACGTACATTATTGCTAAACGTAATTATAACTATTTAGTAAAAGTCTCCATTTTCTTTCATGTGATTCTAAATAACCCTATGATCACCCGTAATTACTATTGCCCAGATAACGTCTTACATAAGCTAATAAATTGGACATAATATGGTATACACATTTTAACATATAAAAGTTAGTCAAACAATACACCTGGCCGCCCGGGTACCTGCACCCAACTCTTCAGAAAAAACCTAACCGTTCTCAAAATGTATTCTTTTATGTATATCAGTAAATGTTTTTAATCTCTCCCATAGAATTTTTTTGTTTAAGAACTCAGCAGTACTTCCGCTATGAAAAATTTACAAACGAGTTTATTTATATACTCAAGCCCTTCCCCAGCACCATCTATCATAAAATTTCCATATATTAAAGAAAGAAAAAGAGCGGAAAAGAACGCCGTTCTACGCAAAGGAAGTAAAACTACCGTTTTAATAAGAAAAATATTCATAGGCATGCCTACTAGTAAATAATTTGTAACAGCTACAATGAAAGTGAACTGATAGTTATAAAAACAGCAACAAAAAAGCGTAAGTTCAATGATTGATGTTTTTTCTAGCTATTCAATATTAAATCATTTGCTTTTTGTTACTTTGCAAAGGTTTTAAATACATTTGGTTAAAACGTTTAAGGAAAAACTAGAATTTTGCTTGTACCCATCTCATTTTTTTAAAGAAAAATAGGTATTTTCAATTAATTTGCTTTTGAATATACTTAACCTATGAAATAAAGGAATAAATACAACACTGAAGTAGAATTAAAATTTTGGTCCCTGTGGCAATTTACCTTTAATGCTGGAAGCAATTCCTCGCTGTATTGTAAAGAAAAACAGATTTATCAAAAATTTAAAGCCATGGCTTCTAGGTATAAAATGTAGCGCTTAAGGTAAGTTTATAGTAAAATTTAAACAAAAGGCTAATAATTAAATTCCAACAAAGATAATATTTACAAAATTTAAAATATAAATAAGTTAAATACACAAAATATTAAAATGCAGTTGTTATTTTTGAAAAAAAGATAATATTATGTACAGTCACACAGGTGATCGTTTCCCTCGCGCCTCGCGTCGCAATTTTAATCTATGGCCAGTATCTTTTAAAGGCTTCGTCAAGGTGGACGTTCGGAATTTTGCTGTAGTAAAATATCCTCAAAACTCTGTACGTAGAGGCGTATAGATGATTTTGAACCAAATAAAGACATTGTGAAGTGGTAGTTAAGTGAATTAATGTGTTTGTAACACTCGTGGGTAATTTGTGATAGTTTTGTTAAGTTTTCTCGAAGTTTTCGTCTAAATTTCGAGTAATACTTTGACTCAACTTAAAGATTGGATTAACTCATATTTGCTTTGGTAAGATATTTACTTAAAAATTAGTATATAAGTTAGGAAAGTGTATGATAATACATGCAAATTGATTAAAAAATATGTTAACAAATTTTTGACAATTTCGTCGGTTGGCGTCCTTCCGAATTTGAATTTCGAACGTGAAGCGCATGCTAAAATTCTGCATTTTAACTAATGAATTGTTAAATGAAATTAATACGGAAATAGCATAAAAGCCCACGTCATCGGCGACAAATAAATTTTGTATCGGAAAGCAAAACTGATCTCAAGGCCATCAACATCATCTGTCTTGACGTCACATCGCATAGGTATAACTTATGTAAATTAATATTTAGATTACCTGAGCTAGGCTATTTATTGTTAGCTATAAATAACTATTGTACAGTGCACTAGCACAAGATACAAACCTTTTATCTAGTTATCTTGACACCATTTACGCCTCTCATCGGACGTCAATACCATCTAGGTATAAAAAAATATTTTCTTAAAACTAATCGATGAGCGCTTGTGAAAGGAAATTAAGCAAGTTCCCTCCAATGCCATTTAAACCAACTGTTGGCTATAAAAAATACCTAGCTCCAGAGTTCAATATGAAGTTCAGCGTTTAGCTATTCCATAAGCGGTTAAGGCGCATCCATCTATACTAACATTTCTATTAAGCAGACAGGTCGCATACAAGGTACTTTTAAACAGTTAGACTGGTCATTAATTATCTGGAAAAAAGTTAGATATAGTATTGATGAATGTACCATATTAAAAAAAATCTTGTTTGGTATCGTGGCCCTGCCTTCTATGAATGGTATGTTAGCGACCTAGGCTAGGTTGGATATAGGCAATACCAGTTTGTGGAGGTCACCGCCCGCCGCCAGAGGACGCGTTTACGCGTTTATGGGTCCGCATTTTTTATTTAACCTTTTCATCTACCTGCTTTCCTTTACGTACCTTTAAACCTTTAAGTTATGCTCTTTATAAAGATGAAGCTATGTATTTTGATTAAAAAAAGGTTTTTAATATCTTATTACCTCGACTCGGGGATTCCTGAAAGACGAGAATCTCAACTAGTTAATAAGCGTACACAACTTATTTATAGAAATAATATATATTTTTACTAATTTTGCTCTCTGTACTCATGGTATGTTACTGTCATGATGCAACGAGTAACAAATATTACTTAATTTGTAATGTATTCTATGTTGCCTAATGAATATCATAAAGCGCATCTTTTGAATCAACATGCACCAACACGGCAGGTAGAGGTCACTGACCCCCTTATCTCACTGGGGTCAATCTAGTTGTTTAGAAGCAAGTGAAAGTACATTTTTACCGTTTTTACGATGCACCATAGTTCTCATCTCACGTTAATTTTAGTTCAAAGTACAAAGACTATATTGGGGTCGTTAACATTAATAATACTTAAACTATATAATACTACTTATATAATAGGAAGTAATGATTCCAATAAGATAACTCATAAGTACTTAAGTATGACAAGGATAGTATAGTGGAATCTCTATTAACTCGAATTTCAAGGGAAAAACTTCGAGATACATACTGAAAATTCGAATTACAGAGGCGATTTCTAAGTGTATTTTTCGAGTGTATGCAATAAATGTATTCATTCACTGTAAAAGACAAAAAATATAGCTTGGAAACCCCGAACCCGAACATTCATATTGGATTTTATTGCTATTATTTCGGGGAATTCCAAGTAAGACGTCATATTTTACTAACTACGTCTTACGGAGTCTGCTTTTTTAAAATTCGAGTTATAGAGTATAAATATATGTTTTATACTTCGTACGGAAATAACATTTTGTCCGAGTTAAAGTCTAAATAATTCGAGATATCGAGTATTTAGGGGTTCAGCGGAAAGGAATGGCAATTTTTTCGACTGAGGATTTCGACTTAACGAGGTTCGAGTCATAGAGTTTCCACTGTACTATAATCTATTATAATGCCTGCCATCGCATTCAGGCATCAACAACAACACGAAGTAAACTCAGATCTTTTATACGATGTAAAAGATTTTTTGTGAAATATGAAATTTTATTTTCAATACTAAATTGCTTAGAATCTAGGGTGGCCAGAGCTAAAAGAATCAGAAAACTCCTGATATTTGATGTAAATTATGGACTTGTAAAATTTGTGGCACGCGAATTTATTTACAATAGCTACTCGACGTTTCATATATATTTTCAAAGTCAATAAAATTATCACATATTGAAAACGCTTAAATTTCAAGTTATAAAAACGCTTTTATAATATTAAATCTATCGAAGCCATATACTATTCTATTATCATACAAAGTTAAAGACTGGAATATTATACATACGATATCTTGTCCAGTATCCTAGCCCTATCGCTAACAAGAAGTTATATTAAACAGAGATACAAAGAAGCCAGATTAAACTAAAACAGTAACCCAGTTTTGCGTAAACAATTTGTCCTTATCAGTCAACTGATAAAAATGGCAAGTGATAAATACGTCATGTATCGTATACACAATTGGGATTAATACACATAAACTAGCCGGCAATTTCGCTGGGAGATTTTAGTAAGTATTTTAATATATCGGATCCAAACTAAAGCAATGGTGCTGTAAAAAAGTAAATAATGCCTCAAACATGAGAGATATTTTTATCATTAGAGCTTTCTTAATAAATACATACAAAAATTTGTTAGTTAACATTTCTTAATTATATCGTATCGTATTAGTTAGTATTTTGTAAAAATTAAGTTAGTTTTTTTTTTAGTGGTCAAGTATCCCCTTTTAGGCTAAAAGCCTCTTCCATATTTTTTCATTTCTATTTTTTTTTATCTGATTTTTCTCAATGCAATGTTCAGATGTAATTGTCTTGTTTTGAATGTTACATTGAAGTACATAATTTTAATTGTTGTGACGTGAAGCTCCTTCTTTTATTTTTATTATTGTCCTGTTCTTAATTTACTCATAATATACAGTATTTCTTTATTGACGTTCATAAGTGTACATTGTGTTACCTAAATGAATCAATGAATTTGAATGGAGGGCGGTGGTCGCTTTTCCCACGGGACCAGCCGGATTGAGGGGTAGGATAAAATAAAGCTGGTAATTAGCCCTGAAGTAATATAGAAAAGGTGATACGTGTAACACTTTTACCTTTACTACGAAGTATGTCGGTTCAATTCCCGCGACTAAACCACTTTCGCCGTTTTTTCGATCTACACAATGCTGTGTGAAAGATTCTCATTACAGATAAGCTTTTTAAACATCAATTCATTGAAGTTTAGTTGCGCGTTTGTGTCCGTTAAAGACTTATATAATCGTTTAGTATTTGTGTAATTAATAATAATTATTTATGTCATTTTAATGACGTCATCTGTTGAGGTTCCTTCTCATTGTTCTACGCCGTCGCATTAGGGAGTTACATGTTTTTATCTTTTTATCATTCCAGGAGTTATCGTTAAAACGAAATATAATTGTATTATTTCCCAATTACCTATTACTGACTTTTTACTGATAAAGAATGAATAAAATAAACTACCAAATGTATGACAGTTTAGTAAGAAAGACTTCATTTAACAAAATTATATTAAAAGATTGTAATTTTTTAAAGTATGTATTATTTTTTCTACGTAGTTATAATGAGACATGCGAAACATGTGCAGATGCTAGTTAAAGGTTTAAGCAAGGATGGACAGTATCGGGGTCCGTAAGAGCTGGTCTTTTCTTCGCACATAGTGTTTGAAATGCTTGCCAGCCAAGTGGACTGTGTAATGTGTATTTAAATTTATATGGAATAAATGTCAGGAGTATCTGTATAGTATATGTAGTGTAAGCACTATATATAACTAACCCCACGAATCCCTTAGCCATACAGATGTTCCCTATTAAATAAATAGTGAATATAAATATATATTTAGGATATAGATTAGAGGTTCAAGCTGGTGGTCAAAGCTATCGGGCAGGCTTACTACGATAATTAATGGCTTAAAGGCTTCTACACTTTGAAAGGAAGCGATAAATGAATAAGACAAAGCAATATTCATATATGATTTCTTGTAAGCCACAATACTACTTACACATATTTAAAGTAACTCATGTATGCTGACGCGCATCTTCAGCTATTAAAATTTGGAACAGACACGTGAGCAGTGTCAGCAATTAGTCAATAATCAAGTGTAATCTGTATAATAGAGTTACCGTCACAAATCAGGAGAAAGAAGAGAAAGAAATGCTGCTGGCATAAGTTGGCCTGCCACAGGGACCTATATGTTTCAATTTAATTGAACTCGACTAATACTTATCACTTATAATTATGTTAGATATCGTATTGAAATTGTGTAATATGAATATTATTTGATGTTATCTTTCCACGTCGTTATCGTGCAACCTTGGTATTCTGTATTTAGCTACGTCTATTGATAATTCAAATTTACATATTTTTCAAATAAAATATTACATTATATCGTGTTTAATTTCGTGAACAAACTTGATTTGATTACTTCCAGAAACGTTTTTTTAGCTAAAAACATTACTCATCTCCGCAATGTTTGTATTATTTGTTTTTAATTTAAACACATATTTAACATAATACACACATACTTGTGAGCTTAACTTAACTTTAAATGAAAAATAATTATAACATTATAGTCCCAGCAAGCAACGCGTCGCGGTCAAACGCCAGTTGTGCACCAATTATTATTTATTTTTGTGCTCGTACCGTGACGGAAAATAACAAGAGATGTCCTAAACCATATTGCTCACGTGTGTGGAAAATATGGCTCACCTTTCTTATTAAAAAAGTTAAGTGACACAAGAATGCCCCATTATGTATAATTACGACATTGCTATTTGTTATATTATACTTTAAGACTGTATTATGTATATTTAGCGATCATTTCATAGATCCCTAATGTTAATTTTAACGATGACGATAAATATTAAAAACCTAGAATAATTATGAAACACGCAGCTATTATAACTCAATTAATATGTATTTATGGTGATTTTCGTTAAAAATAAAGCATAAAAGTCATACTTAAATACATTGATTAATTATTATTATTAACTTTAGGCAAAATGTGTTCTCTCTGTAGTTAAAGGTTGAATGATCCGCTGGGATCAACCCCAATTTCATTAACTAAACGTTCATCTGTTTTATTATTAGATTTTTGACTCCAAAAACATAATCTGAACGTGTGAGATTTCTCTATAAGAAAAACTAAAGGATTTTAGCTACGGCATAAGATTGAAGTTATGTTTAATTAATATTTTACAATTCTATATTTAAATAGTGAGTAAGATCTACTTATTTAAATCGCATTTATAAGCGTTTTCAAAATACATTTTACATTGTATAATTTTTTGTGCGCAAACAATACAGTATTGTGATGTGACCCAATAAACATGCGAAATCAGTTGCATTGTTTATTTCCGCTGTGGTAGGCATATTGGCTTTGACACGTATTTAAACCTACATTAAGCCAATTCATATAATAAAAAGTCATGTTTAAAAAATTTACTTGCAAAACTACGACGAACGAGGCGAGAAAGACATTAGTCGAGTTAGCAAATAAATAAATAAATTTAAATCTCGAAAATTTATATATATGTGTAATATTTGCGTAAACTATATATCCGTGTTGAGTCTTTAATAAAAGAGCGTACCAATTCTTGAAAAGGCTGGCAACGCACTCGCGAGCCTTCTGGCATTGAGAGTGTCCATGGGCGGCGGTATCACTGAACATCAGGTGGGCCTCCTACCCGTTTGCCCCCCTGTTCTACAAAAAAAAGAAACAGTTAAAACCCAAGTCTTCACGACTAGGGCCTTTCAAATTTGAAGTAGTTTTAGTAATACGAGATATTTAAGTTGACGAAATACGACAAAAATATTTTATTCGTATAGCACACGTCTTTAATACCAGACTTATTGACAATTGATATTTATTTAAATCTAAATTTCAGGATTCGCGATGCGGTGTTGACCCCGGCGTGATGATGAGGCTCGAAGCGTCTGAGAAGCAGCATCGCTACCACAACCTATTAGATGATGATCATGCTAGTAAGTATCTCAAATATTATTTTACCCAAGGGTGACCATTGATATTTCATAAAGAACTTACGATGATGCAAAATGTAGCTCACGGATTTTTCGAGAAATATGGTATTTTTTTAAACTTTTGAATAATACTTTAATGCTTTCGTAATGGTGTATCAAACAATATATTTAAATAATTATTTATATTTGTAGATAAAATGTTAGTAACTACATACGCTTAAGGTGACACGGAAAAATTTCATAATGTACGTTTACAACGCAATTACAGTAATTACAAAACAAAGGCTGCATTCCGAATACTCACTTTGGCCTACATTTCCGAGGAGATTGCAAATCTCGAGGTGTTTAACATAACAGCAATGTTTTTCAATTCTATTCGAGGTATAATTGATATATTGATAAATTTCCTTTTTATTTATTTTCTGTGGTGTTCAAGTGTAGTCGCTAATTAAAGATTTAAGTTGGCGCCTGGTAGATAGTACTGGTGACCCCCACAGCTGGTACTTTCCTCGCTCAACGAATAAGTATCGCAATACAGCGAGGAAATGCTGCCAGCATTAAAAGTACACTGGCACAGGGACCTTTTAAATTCGTTTTAATTTTCTATCTATCAATTTTATTTTATAATAAAAAATTAAAAATATATTGTTAATATTGTAAATACTGTTTATCTGTGTGTTAAATTTCGTTTACAATTATTGTATTTCATTTGTAATCATTAATTAATTGAAACAGGGAAGAGTGATTGCTTTTCCGCGCATGATGACACAAATAATATTATAAACTCTGTACCAGAATGGAAGATAAGCGCTAGTTGAATTTGTGCTATTAACCTGAACTACACTTTGATAAAAGTTAGTTTTTATATAGCATTCGAGATCTTCGCGAATATAACGGAATAAATACTACTTATGCAAAGCTGACATATTCGGAAGTCGATGTTGATCCATTTAAAAAAAGCATTGTTAGGTGCCTATCTGATACGTAATCCGCTGTTTTGTTAGTATAGTTTTTTATTGGATTTTTAATTTTTAAAACATTTATGTTAATACCATAATAATTGTCATATATTTTAGAAAACATAGCTACAAGCTATGTTTTCTGTAGATATAGCATTATGTATGATGTGGTAAAAGAAATAAATATAGCAAAAGAGGAGATTTATCTATTGTATACAGCCGTCCATGGACACTTGCATTACCATAAGGCACGCGAGTGAATTTTTAAATATATTCTAGTTTATTTATTCGATTTCTATATTATTAATTTATAAATTATTAATATTAATATGAATTGAATTCATGGGCAACGAAGAGTCCTTAAGTATTTTTCAGTTTAGTTTAGGCCTGAACAAGTGGTAGGCACCTAAGTAATGATGATATTTCACGTGGGAACTCATTGTGGACTTGCGAAACGTGAAACGAAGTGATAGGTCCGTCGAGTCTTATTTCTGACTTGTAAGAATACTGTGTAATTATTTCCGTGCAGACGTACCTACTGTATATAAATATGTATATTTCTCACAATTTTTTATTAAAAAACTAAAAATTTGCAAACTTGATTCTCTTGTTAAAACGTTTTTATTAATGAAATGTTTGAACTTTTAAAATTTATATTATTATTTTCAACTGTAATTTCAACCCATCCTACATCCGTTATTATTTCACGTCACTTTAACAGTTTATAAAAACAGAATGATTCAATCATTAATTCGTTCACCATAGAGATTGTAACCACACCTCACTTCCGGTCAGTGGTCGGTGATATCCGGTGTTTTGTGCACGGGAAACGAACCCGCAACGCCGTCACGGTACACTGCTTTAGATGGGGCACTTGATAAATATTATTTATGGTCATGGGTTTGATAAGACTTGATTTATATCACGAGAAAGTTTACCAGATAACTGCTACCTTTAATTTAGTATTTATATTAAAAATTAGTGAAGGTTTTGTCATGAATTATATTACCTAGTTATCCTCTTATTCATTAAAAAATAAATAAGTGTAATTGCACTGTTTTACTAAACTTCTCTGTCTTTTAAACATAGCTTAAATTGATAGAAAGAGTAGCAAGACTTTTAAGTTAGGAGTGAGTTAGTTTTTTATTAATAACGGTGATAAGCGATTAAAGAGTAGTATTGGCCTAGTGGCTTCAGCATGGGACTCTTATTCCTGAGGTCGTTGGTTTGATCCCCGGCTGTGCACCAACGGTTCAGGAGAACATCGTGAGAGCTTGCCTGAGACCCAAAAAGTCGACGGCGTGTGTCTGACACAGGAGGCTGATCACCTACTTGCCTATTAGATTGACAAAAATCATGAGATATATACAGAAATCCAGACCTAAAAAGGTTGTAATGCCACAGTTTTTTTTTATTTTTTTATTAAGGGTGATTGTTTATTGAACCTGTCACAGTGTAACAACTCACAGGCAAACTTAGATACAATTTTGTTTAAGAAAACGTTACTAGCGTTGTCCTTATTTCTTTTTCCATAGAAAATCATTGAGGCTCTTCAACTAGACCCCCTAATTAGTTCGTTTTTCCAGCCAATCGTCTCGATCAAATATGAAACTTCATATAGAAAAAAAATTTGAAATGCTCTTATATGTTTTAGTATACGGGTCCTAGACTAATCCATCTTGCGTATCACAAACAGGCTTACATTGTAACCTACATACCTCGCCCAGTGGGTGAATGATTGCATAACGATACAGCCTATTGTGCTTAACGATTATCACTTATTGCATGGCATTGCTACATTCTTTCACTGTCATAATCACGTTGATGTCGATTCATCAAAATTTTATTTTATTTACTTTTATACAAGACTTCGTTACTTACACTGCTAACTTTTACTATTATTAGAAAAGAAGAGAAAAGAAATAAAAAATGATGTTTCTCATTATATTTTTTTTAGATGATTGTTTTTTTTTTAGTATTAAATGTTATGTCTAAACTTCATTTTTGTAGAAGAAAACTGTAATACCTAACTAGTAGACTAACTCTGTAAGGCGGATCAACTGTGTGGATACTAATACATTGGAATGTTATTAAAAGTAAATTTATACGAAGAACTGAAAGTCACTAATATAGTACATAATACAAAATCAGGATTGTCAGAAAACAGAAATAATGCCATATAATCACTTCTTCGTAGTCTTCATTTCTGAAGGTCTTGAATGTCTTGAAAAGCCCTAACCACCACCAAGCCTTAAAGCACACCACTCTATCCTCAGCTTGTCTCAGTGCATTAGGGATATTGAGACCCATAGTTGTCGACCCCGACTTCTCCTATTATCACTGCTTCCTTTTTTCTTTTTTTTTATAATAGGGGGCAAACGAGCTTGCGGGACGACCAAAAAGGGCAGTCTACGCAGCCCATAGACACCCATTTTTAGTGGGTGCGTTGCCGGCCTTTGAGGGAGGAGTAGACTCGCTTTTTAAACATTTGGAGGTCGTATCTCTGAGGGAAGACCCCCCCCGGGAACCGATTCCACAGTTCGCTAGTTCGCAAAAGAAAATGCCTTGTGAAACGGACTGTGGAAGATTCCTATGATTACCAGCTTGTCGAGGTTATCAGCTCATAAGATAGTATATAAATTAAAAAAATTATTTTATTTAACGTCTTCTACAAACAAAAATATATTCTAGAACATTGTGTCACGTCCCACGATATGCAAAAATGGCGCCGCACAGATCTATGATACTTGTCAAAGGTTTATAAATTATTTATGAGTACATTTTGCTAATTACGCGCCATTTATAGGTGTTATTTGTATGAGATGCGCATTTATATTATTTACCATAAATGATCTTATTTACTGTGAATAAACATGAATAGTAATTTTCGTTTTCTAAAGATTTTTTTTATTAAAATAAATATTTGTTATTTTTAATACAGTATATATATGTATATTTTAAAATGAGTGAAGTATTTGAAATAAATAAGTAATAAGTTATCAACAATATCGCATGTAATCAAATTCGTCACCTGGGAATTCCGTTAACATTGATAAAAGTCTATAAAAAGCTACAACAGAGTCCGTTATATCAGCTGATCAATCTATTTATTTGTGGCAATAGTAAATTATGAATGGTTGTAAGTTCTGAAAGTGAAGCGAATGTTGAGTCATTGCGGCGCAACAAGAATTTATCGTAGGCCAATAATCTATAGTAAAGAGATATATATATACGTATATACTATACCACACTTTATTAGTAGGGTCGATGTTTTTACATTGACTGACTTGTTATGAAACGCGCATCAAAGATAGTACGTTATATTTTACCATTGCCACGGCCTTTTTCTTCTGTACATAATTGGTAACTATGGTAACGAACATTTTGAGTCCATGCTTTGTAAGCCCGTACAAGTTAAAACAATGAACTTATTTTGAATTTATCAGTTATGTGGTTATTAAGACTAAACTACTAAAATATATGATTCGATTTGTAGAGCACAATTTTGTTTCATTGAGATTTGATAAATTGGTTTAATGCTAATAACGATATCATCATGATATATGCAACAATATACTCCACTCATGACGACTTATAGCACAGAATAGTAATAATCATCAATCATAAATTAATAATCATTTAGTTAGGTATTGATAAATTATAGGGGGAAAAATATTTTTTTTTAAGAAACTTAGTAAATACAAGAAATTCTTTATTGATTAGTAACATGAAAATATCGAGTATTTTACGGTTACATAAAAGCCGAGATGAATTTGGGAAAACCTAACATTTCCCTTTACAAATGATGTAAATCAATCCGATGTCGTTTAGCAAGATTCTTAAACAGATATCGATTGAACAACATCGCGGTGCAGCGGCTAATTACAAGGACAAACAACGATCATTCATTTTAATTAATACAAGCCTTTAGAAGAAGGATAACAAGATTCTTCTCGCCATTGATTCTGAAATGACCTTCTTGTTTTTTAAATATTGACGTTCTTAAGTGTACATAGTTACCAAAATTAATTAATTTTGATTTGAGTTTAATATTATTGTAAATGTTTGAGTTGTGGTATTCATCGGGTTTTACAAGTCCATATTCAATGTTGTATTAAATTAATTAATTAAAGATTTAAGTTGGCGCCTGGTAGATAGTACCGGTGACCACAGAGCTGGCACTTTCCTGGCTCAAAGAATAAGTCTCGCAATACAGCGAGGAAATGCTGCCAGCGTTAAAGGTACACTGCCACAGGGACCAAACTTTTTAAATTTGTTTTGATTTTCTTCTTTCTTCTTTAATTATTTTTATTATTACTTTATAGGTTAAGAAAATTGTAAATACTGTATTTGTGTTAATTTATTAAAGAAATATTTATATTTTTAACGAACATTGTGTAGAATCTAAATGAGACTAAGATAAGATACAACATACATAACAACAGTGTAGGTAGTGGGTACCGTACACATCGGCTCCCGTGTAAAAATACTATTAAAAATAGAAATTCCCCTTATATTGCTATAATGTTGTTTTAAATGAATTAAGCAAGGCAAATTAGTGCAGTGTGTGACTTTTCCAAGTTGTTGTGTTAATGGGATAATCAAATTTTCAACATAATAACAAGCGCTCTGGTGCAGTGGCCGTTTTAAAACATCAACAATACGCTAAATGGAAAAATACGCAAGTGAATCATAACATTAACATTAACATTATTTTGCATTTGATAGTTTTTTGATTAATTATAATAATCATATGCATAGATTCAGTGAAATAGTGTCGAGTTTTTGTTCAACGTGGTGACGCGTTGTGCGTTTGTACTCAGCTATTGGACTGGAATATATACTATTATTTCGGCAGA